ATAAAGAAAGAAAGAAAGAAAGAAAGAAAGAAAGAAAGAAAGAAAGAAAAGAAAAGAAAAGAAAAGAAAAGAAAAGAAAAGAAAAGAAAAGAAAAGAAAAGAGGGCATGGTCAAACCAATTGTGGTGTCGACTGACTCCGAGTCGTAGAAGAAACAAAACCCACAAAATGTGCCATACCTGAGGGGGTTCCACTTCCTGCGCACGGGATGGAAAGTAGCCACGGAGTATAACACGTATATGGAATCTAGCCTCAATTTCTCAACGGTCGGACGGAGTTCGCCCGAGCTTCCAAGTCCAGTTAATAGGTATTACTAGTACGATGTCTAATCTGGCTGGTAGTGGCTGTTGGAAGTTGATAGTGACCCCAACAGTTGACGTCCCCGGGCCGAGACTTTCTGGCCCACTGCTGGTGGTGTACGTTAATTTTAATTTTTAGACGTGCTCAGATTGAAAATTAGGTTATGGAAGTCTGAACCCGAGGGCTAGTCTACCTTAGTTGTTCTAGGATCCACATGTATTAATATTAACTTAAGAAGTGATAAGAAAGAAGGGTATATCATGGTGCAGAGAGAAGAATAATGCAGAATATCCTCGGTAAGGAATGCAATGGCAAAGAAGTCAAGACCATAGACAAAAGAATTCATGAAGAATGTCCAAAGTAATTTAATGAGCGGTCATGCATCCGGCAAGGAAAATTTGAGGTTTAAGATCACCGGTGTCTTTGCAAGTCAAATTGGCTGGAGTTTTCCATGTCTACAAGGGGAAGGAAGTCCGAATCATCTCCTTTCACTTTAGGCTTGCTTTGCAACACGCCTTCTAGCCGAGAGCTGGCGCCCCCCGACCGACTGGTGCTGGTCTGAGCCCTCGTATCACCAAAAATGCTGGGGCAGATGCGGGTCAGTAATGTGCGGATAGCCGGTAGACAGGCACAAATAATTCCCACGTGGACCTCGATGGTGCTCCAGTATCCGACTTGGACATAGTCCCCTGTGTGGTCAGTTAATCAACTATGCACTGGTATTCCTTCATCAAGGCAGCGTGGACCTACAGGTCAAGTTGTCGGTATTTGCAAAATGAATGAGTGATTCCAGTCGTAGTATGCTGACCAGTGTGACACTGCTTCGTATGAGTAAACTGATTAGTAGTAGCTCCATTTCAAACACTTACAAGATACCAAGGCTGAACATAAACATCACAAAGAGCTTCTTCCGCAGGGAAAGCTGTAAGTGGTAGAGCTCACGGAGAGGCATTATCATGACGACCAAGTCCAAAACCATATTGAAGATGGCAGCCGCCCAGCCCTGTGCGTTGATGTTGTTGCACTGATACTGGTGCTCTTTATCCCAGTGGAGCCACGCACCATCGAGAGGCCGGCACTGAAATACAGAAATCAACACAAATGCAATCATGTAACAAACATTGAGGACGATCACAGTGTACACAGCATTCCGGAATGAGCGCTTTGGAAAGACCCTCAAGTAAAAGAAAAGAATCGAAATCTTCGTCAATGGTAGAATACTAAGGTATAAACACTCGTCGAAGAAATATATCTAATACTCCTAAATCAGTACACCCTATGCTGTAACTAATGATACCCGTCTTACTAACCTTGAGAATACGGGTAATATTATCAAAGGGAAGCGTCCAGATATCTTTACCGAGGCCCGTATCAGCCACTATGTGCCATCGTCAGTGTAATTGCTCCCTACTGGGCAATCATAGTGTACATACAAACGACAGATAACGATGAGAGCGGAATTACAAGCAGCTGTAGAGTCCTAGTTAGATATCTTGCGCCCTTCTTCTGAATTTTGGGAGAGGTCATACCATGGTCACTGCCATTATCCAGTCGTCCAACCCAAATTCACCACCACAGCACTTCATCCTTGCCATTATTCGAAGAACAAATGCTACAAAGGCCAATATTCCTCCAACAACGCCCGCTATGGACACTACCTTTGTATGGTCTCGCACTGGCTGGCCGCAGGCTGTCATCGAGACATTTTTGGTCGCTACATACAGTTAATTGGAGATGTTAAGGGTCAAGGATATTAACGTACTTAAAGAATCCCGGATGGTGCAATTTGCTGCAACGCATATTTCTATACTGGCAGTGAGAGCGGGATCTGTGCATATACAGGCCTGGTCTGTAACTGCACAATTAGATACTGCAATAGATGAGATCATGCAATTGAGCTAGATCAGTCAGCTTTTCTTCATACCAATGTGAAGCTATGTGCTTACACCACATCGCGGTATTGCAGCTGCTAGTTCCTGTAGATTTGCCAAGGTAAGCCTAGGAAATGCTACAGCCAGCAATATCACTGGAAGAACCAGCTTCATCCTCGGCGGCTCTGCTCCTGTTTGATTGGAAAGAAAGCAGCAACCAAGGAGAAAGAAGGGGAACGTAAAAATTAAAAGGTGAAAGAGTGACTAAAGGTGAATGTTGAAAAGAAAAGGCAAATGGCATATCCAAGGGCGCTTGATCATTTATCAGGATGTGGACAAAATGACGCGTCAACACCCGGATGGTTTAGTTGAATACATGAATGTACGAGGTGGATGAGGTGATGATCAGAATAACGTACAGATTTCGAACAGTACCAAAAGAAAAACACCGAACATTTCCACGTTTGTGGTGGGCTTAATCTGCCCATCAGACATCGTTATCATATATACATGGGCTGGATCTGGCTATTTGAATTGCCATGACTACCCCCGATTGTACAAGATAGAAGCCCCAATAGAACCAGCGGCAGAATTTACTTACTCTCTGGTGTCCATAGCCAATCTTTTTTTGGTTCTGATTTTCACAGAACAAGGATAAGGGGTTGTTGGTACTTTGGTTCAGTGCTGAGGGGAGGGCAATCAAAAATAAATAAATATACTTACTATACTTACTATACAGTATAAACACATGTAAAACACGATAAGATATAATATAATATATCATCGATCACACACAAGCCCATGTTGAAATGTGTGCAGCTTGAAGGACCAGTCTCTTCTACTCGACTAGAATGGATTTAAGTTGATCCCGCACGTCCGCGAAACATGGACAATCCCAAGATTCATTGTATGCAGTACGGCATATTGACCACAGAAATATACCGGTGGAGTGCTGTAATTTCCAGGAAGCATACGAAGGAAGCAACCCGTGTCAGTGATGGGTAACCGTTCCCGAACCGTTGGCTGTACAATGTAGCGCGGCAGTGGCACTTGGGGAAACACCGCAAGACGCCTGGACAAACCCTAATTCTTAACTTAAAGACAATTAGGATCGGCACTCAACCCTATCCACACAGGAGACAAAGAGATTTATTGCATGCAAAGTTGTCTTCAGTTCTTGCCACCCTTTTGGGCCGTGCTCGTGCCATCCTTCCAGAATCGACCAGTTTTTAAATGCCTATAGTTAACTCAACCATTTCTTATTATATTGCAGAGGTGTACACTAAAGGTTCTTGCGCTGGTCCGTACTATATTTCACGACTATCAACCAATAGTAGTCTATGTTCTCGCTTACAAAATGATGCCATTGGTCATATATAAGATAGTTATTAAGTCACTGACTGGTACAAGAGCCTTTATGCAACTCTGTCACAGTGACCATATACGAATTGGCTCGGGATAAGCCTTCCCTGAAAGAGCGGCACCGGGTTCACGGCAAAGGTATATACGACGTAACCTTGGCAGATCAGACGCCAGGGTCTGATTATAGTAACTTTTTGACCCAGTCGGGAGTAAAACTTAGATATATATTCTTACAAGACCTTTATACTTTTTAAGTTAACAGTTATGTAATAGAATCTGAATGACTAGTAGAAAAAGTCCCTTTGAGTCAGTCCTTCAGAAAGAACTTGATAATTCTAAATATTTAAAATTGTGTTTTCAAGCCGTATGTAATCGGTTTAAAAAGTGGGACTTTTATATGCTTTAGATAGTGCTGCTTTCAGAACTTTATACAGAATTCAAGAATTGATTGATTTATAAGCATTTAAGATTTACACAATTAGCTTTTGAAGTATGATTGATTCAAGGAATTAAGGTCCAAGAATGACGTGCGCGCGCGGTGCAAAAAGTTGTCAAGATCTGAAGACAATTTTGCACCCTCTGTCTAGTTAAAATGGAGAAGTATGACGATCGATAGTCTTTGGATAGGACGGGTTATCTGTTCTTAGCCTGTCCAAAAAAAAAAAAAAAAAGGAATAGAACCGCTAGAGCCAGTTAAGTGGTAACGCCCGTTATAACTTATATGGGATCTTCAATTTTAGACCATTTGAGAGTTAGTATGATATATTGTGATGATATTGTGACACTGGTGTTTCTTGTCTTTTTACCCAGAAAGGGGTGGTGTTTATCTCCCCCCCCTTCTCTATTCTAGTGTGGAATCGGATTATCTGAATAACTGAAGAAAACTGCCAATAGAATGAAAAGTACTTAAGCTTTCTCATTCTCTATGCCTGGCTCAGTGATGTATTTCTTATGGTAAAAGTCTAAACTAGAATTCTACTATGGAACAGACTAACAGTAATTTCTCACCCGAGGGCCGCGATCCTTCGCCAGTTAACCTAGCGTAGTTTATAGTAACTAGAATTTTATGGTTAGTAGAAGGGGGGGATTGTTGGGGCAGGTCAGGGGCACCCACACTGGAGTACTTTAATGGTTTATCTTTGAAGAAGCCACCCCGAGCTCGGTACTTATGACGTCTCAGGGGAAAGGAAATTAGTAACCAAAAGTCGTCCTTTCAAGCGAAATAGTCTGTAAGCACTTCGTACATGCTATAAGGGCCTACGATTCATCAATCTATATACTATTGAGACTCTACGTTGCTATCTGGTCCGAAAAGCACTGCACTTCTTTTTTGTCTCTACGTTCGGCGGTAACGCTTTACTGCTAAATGCAGTGCATTCCCTTTTTTGCCCTTAACCAGCCATTCGTTATTTGAGCCTGTTCTTTTAGTCCTTCATTTCGAACTATCTATCGTTGTTATTTGCTCGAACCATGAGGCGGTCTAGAGAGATTCTACCCTTAATTACTCTAGGACTGGGGTCCTTGATCACAGGCCTCCCCACAGAAGAGAACATGGTCGAAAACATGACGACTATGAAAAATATTAACGAAAGATGTTGCCCTTATTCAAAAATGCAGTATCAAGTCAACGCGGCTATGCACAAGCGTTTTCTGATGGATTCCATGGCCTCTCCAATTGATAGTATGTCTCTCTATATAAACCGTGTATGAGCGTCGCTGAACGGTTATTAAAATGAAGTCACGGGGGACCATGCATTCCAGCCTCCAGATTTTGAGAAAGGTAATCAGCGTGGACCTTGTCCTGGTCTGAACGCTTTGGCGAACCATGGATATATTCCTCGCAGCGGTGTCGTGTCTGTAAGTGAACGGCCTGCGTCTCAAACGACCCACAGGCGTCCATATCTGATGATTCCTAGTTCACCGACGTAGTTGCTGCCATTAATGAAGGTAGGCTTATATTCGTTTCCTAGACGCCAAATTTACCACATTGACGACTATAGTATACGGGATGGGAGTCGATCTTGCAACGATCCTCGGCGCGATGGGTACAGTCTGGACAGGGAATGCACTGTCCTTAGATCCCAGCTTTTCCATCGGGGGAAGGGATACAGGCGTCAACAATCTTCTAGGAAACCTTGACGGTCTCCTTGGTTCGTCCTTCACTGAACATCCCGCTGGGATATATCTCTAAACTGTCGTAGGCGATCCACAAGGCCTCATTGGCTCCCACAATTTTATTGAATCCGATTCTTCCAATACGCGCGATGACCTCTATACAGCCGGTAACAACCACGCCCTCAACATGAGCAAGTTCATGGAATGGTACAACATGTCCATGGACGGCACATTCAGTATGGACCTGATGGCGAAACGAGCGAAGATTCGTTTGGACCAAACCAAGCAGACGAATCCGGAATTCTACTACGGGCCAGTGACCGGGTTGATTGCGCGTAATGCCGGTTATCTATTCCCGGCAAGGGTTTTTCGAAATCATTCACAAGATAATCCAGAGGGTGTTTTGAGTAAGATCCAAGGTTGGCAGTCCACCTCGACGGCTTGAACTAACCGTTGAATAGCTAAGGAAATAATTCGTAATTTCTTCGCCATCTACGGCGAAGAGGGCAACTTCACCTATCGAGAAGGATGGGAGAGAATCCCTGAGAACTGGTATAAGACTCCAGTAGACTATGGCCTGGTGCAACTCAACCTTGACACCCTCGACTGGCTCCTGAAGTACCCCGAGCTTGGAAGGTAAGCATCTGCTTCTGTCGACAGATTTTTCGACAAGTACTAATGAGATTAGTATTGGAGGGAACACTGGAACCGTCAACAGTTTCACAGGGATCGATTTGTCTGATGCCACAGGTGGTGTCTTCAACCTAACTACGCTCTTGAGGGAGAACAACCTCCTCTGCTTTGCGTTTGAAGTCCTGAAGTTCCTCAGCCCTAACGCTCTCGCAGGCTTGTACAAGACCCTGTCTATACCATTGGATGTGATCAGTGATGCGATAACCATACCATTGTTGAACTTCTCATGCCCTGCATTCAAAGACATGCAGATTGGTGGAAAGCCATTCTGGGAATCTATTCAAAGTGACTTTCCTGGGGCTGCGAAAAGTGGTGGCGCGATTTGACCGTGCCAAGTTCTAACAACGATGGCGACTTGTACTAGTATTAGTGCCAGTAGTAGGTGCATATACACTGGAAACAGCAATGAGCGTAGGCAAAGGGAGTTCATACACCACTCTGAGGGGTTGAATATCATCTTACTGTTGTCAATTTTCTCTTTTGTTTGTTCCTTTCTGGTTAAGTTCATCACGAGATGAGGTTCCTGGGCACCCCCACCAATGAGGAGCGCCCGGAGCCTCCAGCCACCCACTTTGTTGCATAAGTGTACTATGTCTTGCTGAGAGTCAGTGTGTCCACCGTCCACAAATCAATTCCACTTCATTCCAATCTAATTTCCTTCTCTTGCTTCCCCTTACTAGTCTTCCAGCTTTTCCACTCTCAAGACTTTGGTTCCTTTGAGTCCAGTCCCAAACTTTTTTGGAAATCCTGTTCTCGTCGTATTACTTCAGTGGAACGAGCTCTGGATTTTCTCCGCTCAATCTTCCACATAGTCTAAACAATTCTGGACTCTAGCGGTGGAGACAAAGCCGCTGCAGCAAAAAGCCTAGAATCTGGAATTGTGCGCATCTGCAGTAACCAACTCCGCAACTAGCTACTGCTTCACCGCCGCAATTGAGCTGCATACGAGGACACGCACGCACGTTCCCTAAAACCATTTCCACCCATCTTGCTCTCAGGACAGGGAAGCATTTCGCATGAGCTTAATTTCTCCCAATTTCTTGCATACGCAGTAAGCGAGCCGAAAGGTTTACCGAAAGAAAATGGGCTGGTTTGATACACATTCTTCCGCTTCCTCTTCTCACTCGGGCCGTAAACGCTCTCCATCCCGCCGGTCAACGTATTCCACCCATCGCCCCCAGCACTCTGCTCCTTCAATCCTTAGTTTTAACGGCGGAGGCAGCCGCAGCCGCGCCGGCCGATCCAGTCCATCGGTCTACTCGTCTTCGTCGTCGCGACGAGCACGACCTCGGTCTGGCTTCGTCCAAAAAGTAGTCCATATCATCAAGCGACTGCTACGTGACATCTCCAAGTATGTCCGTGAGCACCCAATCAAGGTGCTGCTCCTGGTTCTCATACCGCTCCTTACAAGCGGTGTCCTGCAGAAACTGTTCGCCATGATTGGCATTCGTCTGCCCAAGAACATCTTTGGCGGTCAAGGTGGACAATCCCGAGAGGGGGGCAAGAACGGCATCATGGAGAATTTGAGCTCATTTATGAACATTGCGAAGATGATCATGTAAGGAAGGAGTGAAGCGCGCTATATCTCAATATAGGCTGCGTGGTCTAGCAGAGCGCTTCTCTGGGAAATGAATGGTATGATGGATGTGCGGAAGGTAAAAACCTACGATCATGATGACAATGATGACATGGATATATACTTGGTTTTCGGTACTTGATATTCACTTTCGTTTTTTTTTTTGACTTTGTGTGATATTGGATGGCTAGTTACAATTCTACTAGGAGTCTTCTTTTTTCTTTGGCGTGTGTAGATACATCTAAAGTGATTTGTTTGAATCTAACAATATCTACTCCTGGAGTGGTGCAATTGACTGCGAAGGGCTCAATGGTATGGAGTTCTATACCTAGGGTACTGGACAGTTATTTATACATGTTTGGAGTGACGGCTCCTGGAAGCATCGAGGATCCAAAATTTAAAGATAATGAGTAGTAACACAGAAAACGGGATAGTTTCTATACCAGTCACGTCAAGACTTCTGAGAGCGCTTTCCTCGTCTTCTCGATACTCGGCTTTTAGGTGCCACAGCAGAGTCGTTTGTTTGCTCAACAGCCTCTTCCGGTACCTCGGACGGCTCCTCATCGACGATCTCGCCACCTACGGCGCTGGAAGGTCCGAGCAATCTGCCAACAGTTTTATGATAAAACCAGATGGGCACCCGGAACAGCATCGTGTCGCGCACCGTAGGGCGCTGTATTTCATCAATATCAAGTAGGAATTCTTGCCGCTCGCCATCTTCCGTTTCTTCCTCCAAGAACACCTTGCCAACGGAATCAACGATCAGGACCTTGCCATTCTCCGCGACCACCCTTTTTCTCTCTCCGGACGGCTCCACGGACTCGCCTGTCGGGGTCGCGGTACCAGAGTTTCGGGAACTTGCCCGGTTTCCTTTCTTGGTTTCCTTGCGATTCTCCTTCTCCATCATGCGTTTCTGGCGGCGATTGATAGGCATTGCACTCGTTTCCGCTTCTGGTGTTGGGCCTGGGGCCGTTGCGGTAGCATTGGCAGAATCCACGCCTGGAATACCACGAACCCCCAGCTCGTCTCCCCATGCAGCCCTCCTCGCCTGACGAATATACCGATCAACGAACTCGCGCTGGCGTTTCCAACCAAGGATCAATGCAGCATAATGGGCACCACCTCCAAAAGCCAAAAACAGACCAGTCAAGACGGATCCTAGCCCCGGACGAAAGCGCGAATAGTAATAACCGGTACCCTTCCACTTGGGGAAGCCATTCTTCAAGAAGTAGTCATAACGCTCCCGGCCCGGCCCACGAAGGATATTCGCAACGGTATTCAAGCGGGACGCACGGTCATGAGCTTTCTTCACGGCAGCGTCAATCTCTCGCTTACTCGGGCCCTGGTTGACATGGACGCCCGGCTTCTTGTTTTTGGCTCGCGATTTATCCTTGGAAGCATTGGCGATGAAGGATCGTTTGACTTTGTCCGGGTGTAGGAGGCGAGATTTCTTACGATATGCTTTGTTGATGTCGTCCTGGTTCGCATTGGGTTGGATACCGAGGAAATCTGCCGATAGTAGAATTGTCAGAACATGGTACATTGAGGGAAAAGGGGAACACAAGATAACACACCGTAAAATGTCACATTTGTACCCTCTGTCGCGGCTACTTCATCGCGGAGGGAGAAGATTTCATAGTCTGGAAATGGATTGCGGTTAGGGTTATACTGATTATATAGGGGAAGTAGGGTAGCTGACCTTCCTTAGTCCAGGCCGTCACAAGAACAAACAGGACAGCGAACACGACCAAGCGGAGTGCTGTGGACTTCATCTTTTGGCAATGAGGGGAGCGGTCAAGCCGCTGAACCCGAAGTCAATTGGAAGGAGAGGAGCGCGGGGGAATGACTCAGGGAGGCCAACACACACTAGTTATGAGTTGTGGAGGATTATTATTTCCTGGCGAACATTTCCTATTCGACTACGTTACCCTCTCATCCTCAGGCAAATAGCCTAAGCTATGATCTGTCATCAGGCACAAAGGCGGTCGGGTAACATATACGGTAAAGATACGGAAAAATGAAACAGGGATCCATGGCTACCCAACGTGACAAACCCGGATTGGAGGACGATCCACCTTCCGCAGGGCATCGACGTGGACCAATGACGGTTACATAATATGTTGAAAAGTAAGGCGAAAGTTGAAGAGGAGAAAGGCATCTGGATAGTCCGAGCGGAAAATTCATTCGCTATTAGGGGTTCTGAGGAGTAGGAGCGGGAGTGCTGGTTTTACAATAAATGCAGCGTTGTCCCTGTTCAAGCTTCTTGTTCTTTTTTGCCCTTCTCTGGATGTACTGTACCATTACCGAGTACCAGTACCAGTACCTAAGTATAGCAGTATATCACCACCTCCAGCAGTGAGGATTGGAAGATGATGGAGTAAGAGATGGCACCGAATCGACGTGACAAGATGGCCGTCGCTCTTACTGCAAGGTGAAAGCTAGCCCTCCATCTCTCTGGATCGCTGTTGGAACTGGTCGTCTTCGTCTTTGTCTCCAAACCCAATCCGGTCTCAGCCAAATCCACTTCTATTCTTAGCGGTGAAGGCCCATGAATCCGGGGAACCACATTTACGTTACTATTTGCATCTCTCACTTTATGAGTCAGATGTGGACGAGATCTTTCTTTCCATCTTTCATGGTGGTCATCTTTTTTCTTACAATCGACTTGCTCTCCGAGGGAGACCGACCATCTGTCCCTTAATTGCTAAAGGGTGATTGAACTTGCAGTTGTGGCTGCCTTGCAAGGCAGCTGGATCGTCTGTGCTTATCTGGCTCTCGGTCCATTTCAAGTCCAGACAAAAATACGGACCGACCGAAAGGGTTAAACGTCTTTTACCTTTTCTTCAGTGTTTTTCGGGCCAACTAAACCATTACCCATTACTACCTACTACCTATACTTTCCCCTTTTTTTCTCCCTCGGAATTCCCTTCTTCGGTCTGCCTTGATCACTTTCCGGCTCTCCTTAGCGCACACAGGTCGTAAATCCCTTTCGCACGAACTTAAAAGTTCCGATCACTTCTTATTCAATCTCCATCCTTTCCGTGATTATCCCAATCCCTTCGCAATAATCACAATGAGCCCAATTCAGATTCCCGTCGATGCGATTACCTCTCGCTTCGGCGAGCGCTTTAACAGCCTCCGATCCCAATCCCTAGGCTCTCGTTTTGCCAACCTCCGGCCCATTTCCGAGTTCCTTGACGTCAAACGGGTCTCCAAGCCGGCCAACTTCGGCGAGGTTCAGAGTCGTGTGAACTACAACCTCTCTTACTTTTCGAGCAATTATGCCGCGGTCTTCGTGATGCTCAGCATCTACAGCTTGCTGACCAACTTTATGTTGCTTTTCGTGATTATCTTGGTTACTGGTGGCTTGTACGGGATCGGAAAGCTTCAGGGCCGCGACCTAGATCTAGGATTTGCTCGGTTCAACACTTCCCAGCTTTACACCGGATTGCTGATTGTGGCGGTCCCTCTCGGCTTCTTGGCTTCTCCCATCAGCACCGTTCTGTGGCTAATTGGGGCTACCGGCGTCTGTGTCTTTGGCCATGCCGCTTTTATGGATAAACCGATCGAGAATGCTTTTTCAGAGGAGGCGGTCTAGGTGGTCGGCCGCGAACTCCTTACGGTATGCCCCGATGGGGAAGACCACCAGGGGCACAACGAGGGAGACAAACCGGGAGATGGGTGGATCCGTGGGTGGATGGTGACGCACGGATCGAGGAGATTAACAGTGAGGACGAGTACATTTTTCGGGATAACCGGGGTTTGTACGCGAAACAATTATCTGGTATGGACATGGATGAAATTTTACGATGGCGGAAACGGATGCTGGAATATGATGAGTTTTCTGACGAGACCGGGTTTGTCGATGGTATGGATTATAGCTTGCATGAAGACGGGGATAGTACGGTCGCTTATGCGGTTCAGCTAGCTTTGAAAGATAAAGAAGAATGGCATGTGGAACATGCCCTGGAACGGATCCGACGCGCGCAGATGCTGGGACAGAAAAATGTACGATTGTCGAAACGAGAACTCGAGGCACTGGAACGCAAGCGAATGCAGACCGGTGGCAAGAGAGATCATGAACGCAGGAAACCCACCACTAAGGGTTCTAGGTCGAGGGATAGCTCCACGTCAGGTGTACAGCGACGCGGATCCAGTATATCCCAGGACGGACAGACCGCACCATATCGACTCGCCGGCAGCAGTTGGGCCCGCAGCTCCGGCGCTCCGTCTCGACAATCTCAACCGCCTACTCCATCTCCTAAGTCCTCACTGCGATATTCTGAGCGGTATTCCACTACGTTCCCGCAAGCGTCCTCAAGAGGTACAGCCTCCGCATATCCTCTCCCGGATGACCCCAACTGGGTGCCTCCGTATCAGCTCCCTTCTAGAGATCAACATTCGCACTCAATGCGTAGTTCAGTGGGCCCTCTGCAGGGAGCCTCACGGCGATCATCGTCCTACATGTCAGCATACCAAACCGTCGCTAGCCCCAGCAGTGTACGGGGCTTATTCACTCCTCGGAAGACTCCATTGCGATCTACGGTGGAGAGGACACACAACGACGATGAGGAAAGCAATTCAAATGATGGCCGAGCGCACATCGTGGATGTAGTTGAGCGCAAAGTGTCGACGGGTCGTCCAGCAACCAGCAAGGGCAGCCGTCAACGCCGCCACCGTTCTTAGATTCTGAAGTCCCCCAGTGTTGTGCTCCTCCTTGATGTCTAGTGGGAACAGTCTCTTTGGTTTGTCTTGGGTTACTGCTTGGGTGGAATTTGGAACCATTGTGGCTTTGCAGCAACAGACGTAATGGAGTTCAGTATTGATGAATAATATAGAGTCAATTTTTACCTTCTAACAATATCATGGTTTGTCTAACAGTTGTGAGCGAAGTGAACGAAGAGCAATGCATCACAAAAATAATTATCAGAACGGCGGGCGGTAGCGTATCCACCCACATTGTCATAAATTTCTAGATCCACGGTGGAGAGCATTTACATTCCTGACTCGAGAGTTTCGGGAAATGGGGTAACCGTGTAACTTATGCCGTGGAATCAGACACCTTGTTCACTGGCTATTTTGGAGGGGGGAGGGTCTTGGGGGATAATATAGAAGCGTTTTCATTTGTGGCTTTGTCTCAGTCATGGAGTTAATTTAACATTGATTATAGACTCCCGATGATCTTCGGAATTAAGGGTTCTCCGATGATGACGTCGCCGGATGCCGGGACGGTGAAGTCATCAGAAATTTCTTAGTAGTGAATGAAACTTGAGTATACTTAAGCCGCGCTCTCGCGCGCAGTCGCCAAATGGAGACACTCTTCTTGCATGATAAGCACTGGCTATTGTTCGTTCATTTCCCATCCAGCCTCACAGCCCCTGGATATATAAATAAAATAAGTAGATTATCAATTGTGCCTATCCTTTTTGGCTTTTCTCTTATAAAGATCAATTCATTCCACGACTCCCGATTCTTTTTTTTTTTACCCAACCACGGCTCCACGCCCCCTTACTGCTACCCGTGTAGCTGTACTCCGTATGTCTCTGTACCTACTTAGAAGCGCGTGAGTTGGACAGATTTCACCATCTGTAAAACTTTGAGGCCTTGATCAACGCCGAGAGTTGCACGCTAGGCATCATTGTGTAAGTTTTTGTCTAAGCCTCTTCCGCAGTTCCCGGCGCTTACGATTTACTGCCCCTTCCATGGACTATTTTGTCACCCTGCTGGATTGCCACTTTACTTTCTTTCATATTTTTTTGTGCCCCGCTACATGATTTCTTGTAAGAATATAGGGACTGACATAAGGTTTCAGACAGTCATTATACCGCGTTCTGTACATTATAAGCGTTCTTGGGTTCGAGAATACACATAGAACGAATTAGAGGGTCAGGAGCGAGGGGGCCATCATAATGTGGATCATTTCATTCTGGATCTTTCCGGTCATATCGGCCTTCATGTGGATAGGTATGGCTCTGTCGTCAATTGGATGCGTGATGAAATATTAACGATAACTAGCAATGCTACTGGCAATGCTGGGGAATTGGGCGGTACGGGGCACACCGGTATATTCTAGTATGGAAGAGGGACAGACAATTGCGTATGGGCGCTGTCTATAGTCTAGGTACGATCGGATACTAACCGCGGTTGAATAGGTACATCTCCGACATTGGCGCACAAGGCCTCAAACCTTTGTTCATCACTGGAAGTGTAATAACGGTTGTATTCCTGGATCTCTCCTTTATATCTGAACGGTGGCTGCGACATGCCGGCCAGTTGGTGCCGAACAAAGGCAAGTTTGACAAGGCCTGTGCCATTCTTTCTATATTCTTCTCGATTGCGGGCGCCTTGGGGCTCATTCTCTTGTCGATTTTCGATACGTTGCGCCACCCGCACATGCATAGTGGGTTCCTGGTCATGTTCTTGTAAGTTTGACACACCGACAAGACGATCAGACAAATAAAATGCTGACGGCTCTAGGGCTGGTTACATCATAAGCGCGATTCTGATTTGCGCCGAGTACCTCCGTCTGGGCGTTTTCTACCGCTCTCAGCATCGGGTCCTATTCGCCAGCTTTGTAATTAAACTCATGTTCATTATTATTGAGATCGCCCTCGCTATTGCCTTTGGCGTCCTGGGCAATAAAGGTCCTAGCAAGAGAAACGCGGCGGCTGTTTTGGAATGGGGTATGTGATACTTGAAGCTCGGTAATATGAACACGGAGCTTAGCCAGCTAACCACGGCTCACAGTAATCGCCCTCATCTTTACATTCTACGTTCTTTCATTCGTTGTCGACCTATTACCATCTGTGCGCACCCGCCGCCACGTTCCACAAGGCGAGAAGCGGGTCGTGAGGTCCGAGATGGAGAATGGCATGGGTCAGCCTAACGCCACGATTGAAGAGCCATTAACGACTGACTCGGCCGGGCCTAATATGGATTATAGCTACTACCGTGGGCAGCGCATGTGATCGGCTTGCTTTGATATTTTCCTTTCTAGAGTTGGTTCGCATTTACGGTGCATTAGGGTTATGTATGTGCTATATACCTCAGTGGGGCTGGTTTCGATGTATACGATCCTTGTATGGTTTTCTTTCTTCTTTTGGTCGGTACTCTTTTATATCAATTGGTCTTGGATATATACCTCTACTGCTTGGGAACATACTGGTTACATGAATAAAACACCACCCGGCATAATCAAAGAACCATATCGTCTATCATTAACATTATCTAGTATTTCAACATCACGGTTTATCACGTAATGCAACAACAGTATCAACCAACGCCAAACACCAGCAAACTAGAAAATACAGGGCGATCAAGCAACCAGGGTCTCTCGAATGACATCCAACTTCTTCTTCTCAACCCCCGCGAACCTCAGATACCCCTCAACACCCCCGTATCTCTCGTCTAGATGCCTCCTAATCTCCATTATAAACCGATCTGGACACTTGATATAGTCCTCCGACAACCCCAACTTTCGAATCTCCTTCATCCGCTCCTCCGCCTCAACCACCAACTCCGGTTCCGACCGCACGTAATCCGCCGTCATAGCCTCGTCACTCACAACACCCGTCAAAAGCAGCAACATCAGAACCACGAGGCCCGTACGGTCTTTTCCTTGGGTACAATGCACCAGAACCGGATACGTCCGGTCCCCACCGCCATTCTGCGACGCGAAAAGCTCAAAGACTTCTCTCATCTCAGCCGTGCTACTATCGAGCATATCCAGACCCAATCCGACCAGACCCCTAGGCGACATGACCTGTTGCCCGACAATAACCACTGCATCATCACGGTAACCGGACGCTGCGAGAGCAAGGACCTTGCTGTTAACTTCATTAGCTTTCCCCGTTCCTTATTCCCGTCGTTTATCCATCATCCATCCCATGTACCTAATGGGAGGGGGAAAACCAAGAAAGGAAGATGTCCATACAAGAAATTCCACCAATCCAAGCGCCATAGCAATGATCGCTCGAAAGCTTTCCCGGTCAGATTAATCAGTTGCCGGCGGACATGGGGCAATTGGAATAGATGGTCTGTGTTGATATTGGGGGGAGCAGCAGTCCCCGATTCGGCATGGAGTTTGGCGGTTGCCATTTGGTGTTCCGGTCTGGGGACCATTAGCGTTCATTTTTCATGACTTGTCGTTTTGGAAATAATCATATGATGTAGGATGCAGGTAGGTAACTATGATATATTGGGAGGGGAGGGGAGGAAAGAAAGAAAGAAAGAACGGAGGTCAAGGAGAAAAGGACATACGTAGACCTCAAATCAATAACAGTAGCTATATGAAGTTCATCCGTCAAGCGCCGTTTATCTCTTTCCGAGGCATCATCTAGCTGGAATTGTTTACACGCATTAATAACAAGTTATTGGTTTTATATACGAGAAAACTGAAAAGTTGATGGACTGCTTTACCCTTGCGCTGCGAAATAGAACCCCTTCGTTCAAGACCCTGTAGTACAATTCGCACGGTAATTAGTTCAGTCCCATCAATGGTGACATCGTCGTCTATCCTTCCTGCAGAAGCTCGGTCAAACTGTGATGGCATACTTTTTCCCCATGAGTCGGTTGATGGAACGACCGACATCGCGGAAGTTGATAATGTTATCGAATGGGCGATCGGGGGAGTCCAGATCGACGCTGGAGGAGCGCGGATGAGAGGTCATGATGGGTCTAATGCGGGAAGAATTTGATATCCAGGTGGATTCTATCATATACGAATGAAAACTGAAGGAAACGAGGCAGCGCAAGGACTGAGATCAGACACGATAATAATACATAGTATGTGGTGATTATTGAAAATAAAAGATTGTCTATGTCAGATTGAGATACGGCGCGTAGACCTTCATTTAAATGCAAGGCAACGTGGATCAAATTCATTTGATTTCCAGCGTGGAGCCGCGCACCAAATGGCGGTGGAGAGAAGTGGAAAAAAAATAAAAATAAAAAAAATAAAAAAAAGGGACAAAAAGAAACCACTGCATTGTGGACAGCACCCCCAAACGGACTTTCTTTGATTTCCGTTGGGTCTTTTTCTCTTGTTTGTCATAGAAAATAAGAAATAATACCAGAACTTAATCACACCTTTCAAAGCCATGCAACTTTCATTGGATTTACTCGATTCACTAGCATTCAATCACGCATACTCCGTGCGGTCCTTCCAGCCCGGCTGGAGATAACGCCAGTCCCGGTTGAAATCGAACCCACTGCGATATTTTGCATATGCCTTCAGCTCCACCTGCTCCAGTCTCGCCCCCGCGTCTGTCAACGCCCACATGCTAATCGCTAGTGAATTCTGTCCCCGGTTGTTAATCACCCCCGGCGGGAATGGGAATAAGTCCTGCGGTCCAATATGCGGGAGATAATGGCCGAACTGGTATCCATTCATGAATATCTGCACAACCGCCGTAGTGCCAGCCGGTGCGCTTAACTGAAGCCCAATGGGGACGTCTAAGTCCTCATTCAAATCCAGTTCGAAGCTCGTCGTGTAAAATCTTCCCTCCGCGCCGAGCACTCCTTCCAGAGGATTGTTGTCCAAGGCCGACTCGGGGGCTTGGTATCCTGGCAGATGCCAGCCCATCCGCTCTCCATAAAGACCGCCTTCATTCATCGGGCCACGCACTGGGTCAATGTTCTTTTCTCCGCCTGCATTGCCTTGGATGCGCCACAACGTAAAGTTACCTCCTCCGATCAAGGTGGCGCCCATGATCCCCCGCGGATTCTGGGTGCCTATAGGCTTCTGGCTGTTCTGATCGTGGCCGGTATAGTCCGTAATAATAGTAAGCACATTGTCGCGAGATCTGAGAGAGGAAAGGTTGAACTTAAGCACCTCCCAACTTGCGACTTTGTCGGGGTCTCCTGTAAATCCTCCCACGTAAGCACCATTCAACCACGCCGCCCATCCAGCTGCGGCACCATTCTGCACCGTAACATTGGCCCCAGTAACATTTTGTCCATCGAATCGTCCACGGTAAATTTTAGTCCCTGTGTGATAACCGTAGTCACCGGAGTAGAGTACTGGAAGAGAGAGAGGAGCGATCGAATTGACCGACGTAGTTTTATTGCAGACCGTCCACCTGGAGTCGTCATAATCTGGACTGATCTCAGGAAGTGTATCTTGCGCCTTCCATGAACTAAGCGAAGGAAGGGAGACTTCTATATCTTCCGCTCCAGGGACAGTCCCGATAAGACTGCCGTATGTAGTTACTCTAGTATCAATGAGATTACCGTTCCAGCTCACCTTCTTAACATGCTCATCGCCCGTATATACTCTAAATAAAAATTAGTGATGATACGCACAAAAGGCCCGACATCGCAACTTACTCTATTGAACTTGAGTTGGAGTTGTCCCCAATGACCTCCACAGTGTCAAGTTTTATAGAAGCCCCCCGGACCAGATATGGACCAAAAACTAGGATATGCTCATTAGGAGCAATCGTTGGGCTTGAGATGGTAGGAGGTGCAAAAAAGTTCCATGCGGTTTTCTTATCGAGCAAGTAGACCAGCACTCCATTTGAAAATTTCACCGCTGTAATTCCCTCTCCTTGGACGTATGAATATTGTGTGCCTTGGCTGATATCTGACGAACTTAAGTTTGAAGTACCGTATGTTTGGTATATGAGATCAGCCGGGGCATCCTTGAACACAAAAACCCCCTTTTGGCCCGCATTCAGGTAAAATACAAGTACGTCCACGTCGAGCGTTGCGTATGTCAAGATCTCAGCAGACGAATACAGAAGAGAGGATTCACTGCCAATTCTGTAGTCTGTGACAATTATCTTGCTTTGACGGCCATCAAGTTCAATATCTGGAATGGCAATGGTTCCTGCTCGGGTCAGAGTGAGTCTAAAGTGGCCTTTGCATAAGGTGCATACCTGCAGAAGTTTTTACATTCAATGAGAAAGATGTGACTTCTCGTGATGAGCTGGTTTCGTGAGCCACAACATAAAACCCAGCGTCCGTCTCAGGGTTTCGAAGAGCCCAGGTGTAAATGCTATCATCACTAGTGTAACCGGTGCCGTTCCCTTCCATGTACGTTTTCAGCAGGTCCTTCGACACACGGGTAAATAGTCCAAGCAGTTTGGTCTGTTTTAATTTATCACGAATCTCTCGGGTCTCTCGAAGAGGGGAGCCGTAGTCGTAAGATGTGTAAACTACAGGAGCTGCACTATGGCCCCAGTTGGTGCCCCCAAATGTCATGTAGATGTTCTGAAGTGTCACGCGCGAGCCGATATTATTCTTATAGTAGACGTCTGCAAACTCTGGGGAGAGCTCCGACGCACAAGTGTCATAAAACGACCCACCCCAAGGTTGAAACCAACCTCCTTCGAATTCGGGCAAATATTCGGGCTGTGTGTAGGAGTAATTCTGGAACCACTGGTAGTATGTCCGGACCAAGTTGAATCCAGAGTTTGGGTTGGTGCATGAAAGGCTTCCCGGGTATGAGTCAAGCCCATATACGTTAACAGCTCCTCCGACATTCTTATAGTCAGTGGACCAGCTCACTGTGCGCATTCCCTTTTCATTGTGGCTGCTTGGGACGACAATCCCGGCCTCCTCGAATTCTTTCGCTATCTGCCCCATGTAGATGACTTTACTATCATTGGAATCGTAGGTTGTTTCCTGGAGTTCATTCTCATGTTGGTTCAGAATGACAGGGCCGCCCTTGGTGATTTGATTTGCTGCAATGATCTTGCCGACCTCCCGAACCCACGGTCTCCATCTTTTATAGTAGGCTTCATCACTCGTCCGTTCACTGCCCATCTGTCCATTTGCCGCCCATAGAGCAAACCCACCCGCAGAAGTCTCTGCATTACAGTATGGGCCTGCCCTGGAGATCACATAGAGGCCCGCTTGTTTAGCATAATCAAATAAGCGCTGGATATCATGAGCACCCGTCGTAAAGTCGAACTCGTCCTCTGAAGCGCTGTGATAACTCCAGAAAAAATAAACTGCACAATATTAGTATAGCATTTCTATAGTTCTGCCAGGCAGTCACACCCGAGATGGTGTTAAATCCATTCGCACGCAATTTCTGAAAAACATCTAACCACAGCTCGGGAACGGGGAGTCTCTGGTAGTGAAATTCACCGGAGAAAACAAAAAGTCGCTCGCCTTTGACGGACAGACTGTATTTGTCCCACGTCACATCGGCGGTCTTCCCATTGTCGAGGCCTGATACCTTCCCGGTCAGGAGAATAAGCCAACCCAGATAAAAAAGTCCGAATAACCGCATATCCTTCACCGGCTATAATAGAGACTGCCCTTAAAATTTTCCATCGCAGTAAATCATGCAAGCGAGAAGCTTCCATAATAAGAGGTGCTCCTCTTCCTTGAAAGTGCCCTTCGGCCCTCGCGATATTGATGTCCCGGCTGGGGACAGGGATTGGTGGAAGATCAGTCTGGTTGAGAGAATCCCCTTTTCTCCGTAATCGGGACACTGGAAATGGTGTCAGAGGGGGACTGCTTGCATAATCTCATGATAATCCCCGGGGGAAAGATATGCCTGGTGGATACAGCAGGGTGGCATAGGATATACCCAGCCTGAAGTTGCATCATCATTATGAAGAGTAAAATTAGTCATACATATATATAACCATAGAGGCATTTTTAGATACTTGTGCTTTTCACATACTAGGTTGTAGACTAACTCATGCGAGGAAAAAAAAAAAAAAAAAAAAAAAAAAAGTAGCCTCAGTAAAGTCGTGGGAAAAAGTGACAACATTAGCAGTCCAGGTATGTCCCTTCATATGTACTGGAAATCCTTTAGAACGCCTTACCTGACCACCTTCCTATATGTTCCCGACTCCAAAAAGCACATAATCCACACCACTGAATGAAAATAAAACGATTAAACAGAGTTCCAAACCCGCGATAAAAGATGTACAGAGACATTGGAAGCAATACAATTACATCATCAAAGGTCTTCAGAGAACCGTGATTCACGACCAGTAGTACCGTTGCTTGCTCGCTTTCCGATTGCAGGCGGAACAGGCAATCCTTGATCGGCGGCACTCTCACGTAGTTCGTCTCGCTCAGTAGCGTGCGAAGGTAATTCATCTGCAGCAGTATGCTCGACAGGTACAGATCCTTCATCAGTCTCCTTATTAGGATCTGTAACTCCGTCCGTCTTATCTTGCGAGTTCCTCGAGACCATCTGCGAAAGTCTGGACTTCAGGCGAGATCGCTTATCGCCATTCTGCTCTGGACTCTCCTTGGACCCTGGCTCAGCTGCCTGCCCTTCAGGTTTCATAGCCTCCAGGGTGCCTGCATCCACTGACTTTCTCTGCATTTCCTGCAGATCATCTGCTGTAACAGGGTTGGACCTAAGAGGTGCACCGAGTTCGTTATCACCACCCACCTCGGCTAAATCAGTTGCATCAGCTGTTTCCGCTTTTTCAGCTTTTTCAGCTTTTTCAGCTGTCTCAACTGACTCATTCGGCCCCTCTGCTGCCTGAGCAGTTTCTTCCACCGCGTTTGAGGGTGTCTCGCGATCGCCCTCCGCTATTTTTGGAGCTTCACCTGTGCCTGCACTGGGGCGACGACCGCCCAACTTACTGAACCACGTCTTGAGTTTCGATTCTGTTCTCGTGATGGGCTCTGTAGATCCTGTATCTATCACGGCCCCTGAGGCAGTAGCTTCATTGCCGGCCCGTGTGGTCTGTGG